TAGTCAAGTGTCTTGGTAGCCTTAGGCAGTGGACATTAATTCCACATTTTTATTTCATACTGAAGTAGAATGATGAAGCTTAACTCAGCTGCTATATACACCCCACCCAGCCCTCCCAGTAAGTGGTGTCTTCCAACTCCCAATCCAGTAACCGCTGAATTAACAAGGCACTGAATAAACAGGTTTTTCCTGAACGGATGTTTCTGTATGCTGATCTGATCATTTTTTATAGCTTCACCAGGAAGAGTAAGATGAAAGCTGGAAAACTCAAGTGAATCAAAAGTGCTCACTCCCACAAAAGCTCTTAAGCTCTGTCAAACTGAAAGAGTTTTTAAATATCAAGAAGAGTCACTGTCCTGTCTATAAATTTCAAATAACATGCCTGAGCCCACTTCTGCTGCACATAAACCTCTTTATGCGTCTACTACTGTACACTACCCAATGTTCTCTGCTCCGTGCTACCCTGCTGTGTACGCAATTCATTTTCAAAGAAAAATGCTTAATAAGATTCCTTCTTTTAATCTTAGGAAACATAATTCAAATAGCTTCCTAACAAAGGCCCTCTTTTTAAAAAATCCCCGAGGTCAGAAATATGCAGGAGGGCTGAAGCCTAAGTATAAACGTCAGTAGTAAGTTTATAAAACAAGAACAGTGTTAACTTCCACAGTACTTAAATTGTGTATGTCATACCACATTATACTGCTTTTAATTCCACAGACCAATAGCTAAATCAGTTGGGGGATGGCATACAAAACACTAGTTACTATGCAGTGGATATAGTTATAGAAAATGGGTAAGCAGGTATTTAAAAAACCCAAATACATGTATTTTAATCTAAAATATTAACTTTATGGAATAAAACCTACTGATAGAATAAAAGTAAACCTTTTCAACAAAACAGGTTGCCTCATCATTTTATGCAACCAGCTCTCAGTCTCTCAAGAGGCTCCTTCAGAACAATAAAAAAAATATATAAATCAAAATCCTGAAGTGAGCAAACTAAAGACCATTAGATTAGCAAGATTCCTTTATGATGAAAGGTTGACAAATGCATGTAACAGAATATTTTTAGTTCTAAAATGCTTTATGAATGGGACTGTTTTAATACACTTATCAATATAGTCAGGATTTTTGTGTACAAACAGATTACAGAAGGGAGTTTTAATTTTAGACTACAGTAATCGTGTGTTTTCACAAACATTCCACATCTACCTTGGGGAAGAGAAAGCCCCCTTGGCACAGAACCTCCATGGATTGGGATGGGGTTAAATGTCTGGAGGCCTTTCTCTGGGGAGAAAAAAAACATTTTGAGCAAGTGAATTCAGTGAACTGCCCACAAGTGTAAAGTTATATGAAATGGGCAATTTGAATTTTTATTTTCATGTCCTAGTCAAAGAAGCTATGCAGAAATTTGTCTGAGTACTTTTTACAGAAAGCTGAGCACTATTGCTCAACTTGTTAGTGCCTTCAAGGACTGATTCTACAAACATCCTCACATGTTTGAAGACGAGCGCTTGAAACCTGGAAATGCCTATCAAAGCAAGATTTATAGATTGCCTAACAAGCAGAGTGCTCGTCTTTTTAAACGTGCAAGTATGTAGCAAGAGGAAAGTCTGTACAATCCTGAGGACAATGCTGCAGTGCGCAGTTCAATTACTGACAATTCACCATCCCATTGAGCTGCTAAACTTTCAGTGTCGCAGGGAGGAAAATTGAGAGCAATTGTTTTTTGAAAATCCCTCATATTACAAGGTAGGTCCACTCACTCATTTGATCAGATGTCTATGGAAGGTTACTATAACTAAGAACCTGCCATTTCCCTTTTCAAGAGCACAGTTTATTCTTTTGAAAACTAGCAACTTTCCAAATGAGAGGTCAAAGGATGACGACAAATTGTGGCTTTGCTCTTTTGAAACAGATCTCTTGTAAGTCTGTAATTCTGAAAAGACTAAAAAAAAAAAAAAGGAATTAGTTAATTTTTTTAAACAACAGATTTAACTGCTTTAATTGAGAGGAAGCTTTGTATAGTAGTAAAAGCACAAGATGAGGAGTAAAAATATCTAGGTTTTGTTTACTGCTCTGCCAGCTGATCTTGGGCAAGTCACTCAACCTCCTGTGCCTTGGATCCCCCAACTGTAAGAAGAGGATCTTGTCTACTCCCAAGTTGTGCTCTGAGACTTTGAGACCCTCAAACGAGTAGTACTATAGAACTACTAGGCATCACAAACACCAAACCAATTTGTACATGGCCACCACAATACCGAATGAGCTACCTTTGCTGTTACAAAAATACCAAGCGAATCAACACAAGAAGTCATCCCTATTTTTATCTACAAAAATTAGGGATTTTTGTCTCATGGCAAGTCATTAAGAGTCATGAGGGAAAAACAATTAAAATCAACATTTGTTCACGTAAGTTATTTACACAGACATATGCAACACTCGTCAATAAAAAATGAGCATTTAGGTACGGCTGCTATAGGATCTCTGTCACAAGATATGCTCCAATATGTACTTTTGTATTTCACTAAGCTTTTGAGTAAAGATACCTTTTCTAAAAATCACATTCTCAAAGATTCGTGTTTCTTCTTCCATACTCTTGCATTCTAAATAAGCTAATTCTCATAATATGAGAGCAACACTCGTGAACAGATTTAAATAAGAAAATAAATGTTAAATGAAAGGGAGAACCAGGAACAGTCACAGTTAATCAAATACCTCCATTCTGTTTCAGCAGCAAAGGTAGATTTTGGTACCAATCTAAGAAGATTCTGGTAATGAAAGTCTCAGACAAAACATGATTGCCTCCTCAAGGACACTACATATATGTGCAACTACATTCACGTATTCCATCATAAGCAAAAATCCTCATGACTGATTTGACACAAGAATACAATCTGAACCCTACATCCAGCATAACAAAAACCTATGGCCAAATTTTACATAATTTTTTCCCCAGTGTTCTCAGAACTGAAGTCACCTTTTAAAATGATCACAAAGGTATTAAGGATTTCACACCACAAATGTTATAAAAAGCAATTACCCAAAATGGTCTGGAAAATCATCAACATCTTTTCTGGATCTGCAGTGCTGGAGTCCTGTTTTGCTGCCCTGCCCTTTTCTTGTTCATCACAGAACATAACTGATAGTAAGAGACTGGAAAGCATTTCACTCCAACACTTTCCTTTTCCTGGCATGAAGAAGTGTCAGACATGGTCTTGACATATATACCTTCATCTTACTGTTTACATAAACAGACACCAGTATGTTGTGTAGAAATTATATTTAGCCATGATAAAATATCAGACATATTTTGAGATTTAGAACATAATACAAAAGCCACACTCAGGAATCATTTAGCTTTGTTAATTTCCTCAATACCAAAAGGAGCACATTTCTATCAGTACATATACATTTGGGCCTTAAATGCGGCACCAAGTACACACTTGATCTCATTCTGTCACTCTGTACATCAGCTACGTGTCAGGGTACAGAATGAATTAAACAGCAAGCCAAGTCTTGCTGCAGTGAGGCTGAAAAAAGACCAACTCCAGCTGTGTCTCTTTGCTAATGGTCTGAGTGTATGAATTTGGTATATTGGACACCAGTTCTTTATATTATTTCCAACTCTTAAAATTAAGATCTATTATTGCCATGCAGTCCAAGGGTACGGACTCTACCTGATGTTTAAACTGCTAGTGATTCTGCAGTAAAAAGAAATCCTTAATGAAAGGTATTGCCAGCAGCTGCTGCTGTTTTCAGAAGGCTGCATAGGCCCTGTAAACCAAACAAACTGAATAATTTACCAAGGGGAAATGAATTGATCCTCCCTCTGATTCTACAAGGTCATTATAGATCTAAATAAATTTTCTTTGTGGGTTTGTAGTTACCATGACAAATGTTCTGAGGTTCTTCTAATCTACTGATCTTTCATCCCCAAATTACGTAAAAGTAGGTCATCCTGCTTCTTACACCATGGCTAGAAATACTGCAATCATTTTGCAATCTTTACTTTTGCCCTTGTCTGAAGATCCTGAAAAACAAGCCACTAGACATTAAGGAACCTTGTGTTATGGATCCACCTTATGAGGTCTTTTTTAAACATATGAAAGCTACCAAGCTAGGTCTTAACTAGTGGTCAGATACAGAGACAACTATTACCATCCAAATGTTGATTGTATATCTGGATCAATATCAGATAGCTAATTTTAACCTCCACAAACTAGATATGTTTCTCATGAATCTGAAGAGTCAGACAACCTGCCTCCTGACAGTATAAGGTGTAGCACAGTGCAGGCCAACAACTGACCAGTCCAGATCTATTTTTAGTAAAGATTTAATATTGTTTAACCAATATTTGTTACCATTGCTGGTGAAAAAAACGTTATGCAGTTCACTGCAAAAAAATAAATAAATCAGATTAGTAATTTCGATTGTACAGGGGGGAAAAAAAAATCTAAAAAAAATATTTAAGTCATGTCACAATGCAAATCCATGAACTATTTTGCAACGCAAGGCAGACGACAGATTTAAGGATTACTGAATGCTTGTTCTCAAGGTATAGTGCAAGATTTTAACTATTTGGAAATGATATAAGTGTTAAAGTAAAAAAAATATTTCATTTCTTCACTCCTTTTTATGTTATTTTTAAAAAAGCAGAAACATTTGTTCACCAACTGTTATTGCTTACTGCGTGTAATGTTAATTACCACGATGGAACTGAACTTTAATAGATGTCCCGCTGGGCTATAAATAGATATTTATCTGACAAGCACTATTGAAAAAAAATACATGATTCACAGCTCAGAGATCATGAAGACTGAAAAGTCACAGGGTGAATTACAAGTTAGACATGTTCACTTTATTTCAATTAAATTCATTTTCAACCATGCAAGTCTGATAATTGAATTATATTGTAAAAAACAAAAAAACCCTTATCGTTTCTATAAAAATTAAATCAAATCATTTTTTCCATGTATATTAGCAGAGTAGAATCTCACCTGAAAAGGAAATATGTTGTCGGCTCTGTTCAAACTATCTTCCATCCAAGATTTCGGAGCAAAGGCCGAGCTGGGCCTAGCATACTTCTGCAACTGGATATGATTACTTGCAAAATTCTTCTTCAGGGGTGAGATGGAGTTCAGGGGTGTTATCCCTCCATTCAGTCCCCTGCGGTGGTCTCGCCCTTGGGACCCTCCCCACCCACCATATCCACCGCCACCGGGGCTCCATGAAGAAGATGGTGTAGGTGATGGGCTTTGGTAGCTGCTCCATGGAGAAGGTGGTTTGTTAAGATTATTAGCCAAATGAGGCAGTTGATTAAAAGCAGCATTTCTATGTGTAAATGGAGGTGGATGAGGGCTTGCAGGTGATCTTCTCTGTTGCTGATGCTGATTGTGATGATGCTGAAAATGGGGGTGATGAGGGTGGTGTTGAGAGAGGGGTCCAATCTGAGGGGAAAAGCTACCTCCAAAGCCAGGGCTGACATGATGTGGAAAATTCTGAAACAGCAGAGCACCATTATTAGCTGAGGCAGCAGGGACCCCTCCCTGGTGAAAAAAACTGGCATCTTCATTGATTATTGTAGAAGAAGAAGGAGCTATAGCTGCTGACCAGTTACTAAAACCAGTCAGAGAAGATGCAGTGGATGTTAAGGGCTGAGTTGAAGTACCTAGCCCTGAAGCCTCTTGATAATCAAATCCTGTTAACACTGGTGATTCTATTCTTATTTTCTCTTTCCCGTTGCCATTCTCTGAAGAATTGTCTCCCTGATTTTCCTCAGATTTAGCTTTCTCAGGTTCAGGCAGCATGCCTGCTTCCTGACTTTGACTAGGGGAAAGCTGCTGTTTTTCTAGAGACTCTTGCTTTTCCTGTTGCTGAGTTTTAGATTTTTCTGACCCCAGAATCTCATCCTGAATGTTATGGGCAGCTGGAGCAGGAAAGAGCCAAGCTGACCCAGCACTACTGCCATTGGCAGCTGTGTTGTTATTTATAAAAGCAGCAGGGCTGGGGGCTGCATTTTGATGATGGTGTGGAGGCTGCAGATGTGGATGAAATCTCACTGGAAAAGCTGACTTATTCCCAGTGTTGTTTTGCACTAACACTCCAAACCCGTAATCCCCCATTTATTATAGTTAGGATTGATTTTCTCCTGTAAAAAACAACGTTTAGTGTTTCTCTCCTCCTCCACCAAAGAGGAACTAGCAAATATCTTGTTTTAATCTAGATATTCCAGTTTCTTCCTCCACACACTCCTTAGATATTTCTGATTTGGATATAAGTTCTGATTCTTTCAAAGATAAATCTCTTTAAATATTTAATGTGTGTCAATTTATGTTTGTTTCCTTTCTCTGATTAGAAGGAAAAGAAAAATAAATCTTTGGTTAGCAAAATAAGAGGTTTCCTTTTCCTAAAGGAAATGCACAGCAATAAGAGAAAAATCTTCTGGGGAGAGATACAAAGAGATTTTAACTATCCTGTTTTTTCCTCCTCAACAGCCTTGACTCGGCCATAAATGAGTTAAGAGGAAAAGAGAAACAATGACGTCTGGTCCCTCCACCTCTTGGCTGAAAAAAAAAATTAAGTCTGGAATAATTTAATAAATTCTATATAATCTAATATATATTTGTTTCCTGTTCAAAAGAGTCCTTGCTGTGAATATGGGAAGATTTTACCTCAGGATTTTAGCATTCAGTGGGGGAGTGAATTGTGCAGGAGGCTTTTTTCCCCCCTGCTGCTGCTCGGTAAGCCTTTATTGTGTATAATAATAATATATACTATTTTGTATGTGTCCTTTAGAGGAGTCTTGGCTTACTGAAGGGGTAAGATTTTTATCTCAGAAAGTCAGTATTCTGGAAATGAGAGGGGAGTGAGCTGTGCAGGAGAAGGGTAGATTCTTGATGCTGCTCCTGTTGGTCTGGGTTTCTGAGCTCGCCAGGCTCGCCTCCTATTTATGATCAGATATTTGTGTCCTTTAGATGAGTCCTGGCTGTCCGAAGAAGAGTTTCATCTTAGAAATCTGCATTCAGCATTCGGGGGAGGGGGTGAGAGCAGGCAATGACTTGTGCAGGAGGAGGGTGAGGGAGGTGTCTTGCTGCTGCTTCTGGAAGGGTGGTTTCTGGTACTGGGCTCGCCTCCTTTTACTGAGCTAGGTAGGCTTCCTTCAGCTGCGGGAGCCCTTGTCTGCAAGGGAGGGTGGATTTTACCTCAGGGACTCGGCATGCGGCAGGGGACGAGAGGCTGGTGCAGGGAGGCTGACTCGCCAGGCCCCCGTTCTCTATGGGGTACCCCCTCACCCCCCCCTTCAGAAGTCCTGGCGTCTGGGAAGGCAGGAGGGATTTTACCTCAGGAGAGCAGCCGCCTCCAGCGGGGAGGGGATGGTGCAGGCGGCGAGGGGCCAGGCTCCTCTCTCCCCCATGGAAGGTGTTTAACCGGCTCTCCCAAATCGCCCGCAGATTACGGGACAGGGTCACGATCGATTAGGACTGCAGGGGAGGGAGACCGCTGGAGTCACCAGGGGGGTGGGGTCCTGCGGCGGCGGCTCCGAAGCGTCCTTTCCTTGCTTCGCGTCCTCGCAGCTGCAGGCGATTGCCCTTACCCCTCATGTAAAACAATCGATTATCGCGGGGGGAGGGGGCGCGAGACCGGCTCCGAGGAGTCGGGAGGCGTTTCAGTAATCGGCGAGTCTGGATATTACGGAATCTCTTGTCCCCGGCCGCCTCCTGCTCGCTGCCGCAGCCGGTACCTCCCTCCCCTCCCGGCCGCCGCCGAGTCCCGTCTCCTCAGGACAGAGCCGCTGAGCGAAATGACAACCAGCTGGAGGGAGGCAGCGCGGCACTTCCGGTTTGAGGAGGACACACCTCCAGCCCCGCCTCCCTCGCGTCTCCTCAGGCGGAGGCCCCGCCCCCGCCTGCTTTACAAGCCTCTTCCTGGCGACGTCATGAGATTCAAGGAGGGGCGGCGGCCATTTTTGGTAGGGGCACAGAGGTGCCACTCCGACCGCCATCTTTGTGGTGGGCATTCTTCCCTGCTTGGTGGCCATCATGGATTGGGGCAAGCATCTGCTAGCTGCCAGCAGGACGGCCATCTTGGACTGAAGAAAGCAGGTACTCCTTGAGCAGCCATCTTTGAATATGGCAGCGCTCGGTAACTGCTGGTTCTCTGTTGTCCTGCATGGATGAGAACGAGCAGGGGGCACGTCCCTGGGCAAAACTCCATTGTTAAATGGGGGAGGCGAAGGGGCAAAAGGCCTGAAACCAGTAAGATATAGAACTGCATGGGGAAAACCTGGGGAGCACGTAACACCCGCTGCCAACCCTGTCTCACTATATGCCCGGAGGGCTCTGGCCACGGCAAATTCCACCTCCCAGTAATGCCCTGAGGGTTTCGGCTCACTGCAAACCACACCTCATTGTAACACCCACACCCTGAAAGCTCAGGCCCATTACAAGCCCCATCTCCCTCCCCACATTGCCGAGGGCAGAAGCCTTTTGCAAACCCTGAAACCACAGGGGCTGAGCAATATAGCAATCCCTCCCTGCCTGCACTACCCTATCACCCCGTGGACTGATGTACGTTACAAAACCTACTTTGCTATAGGACTTCATCACCCTGTGAACAGGCCCATTGCAACTCTACCTCCCTGTAATCAAAACCACGTCATCGCAAGAGTGGATTGCAGGGCACAGACATGATGATAAGTGAATAAGAATGGAATAAAACAAGAGAAAGAACAAGGCAACAAAGAACCCATAAAAATAAATACTAAAGTATATTCTAGAACAGTGCTTCTTAAAGTTGGGCCGCCGCTTGTTCAGGGAAAGCTCCTGGTGGGCCGGGCCGGTTTGTTTACCTGCCACGTCCGCAGGTTCGGCCGATTGCAGCTCCCACTGGCTGCGGTTCGCCGCTCCAGGCCAATGGGGGCTGCGTGAAGCGGCGCGGGCCGAGGGATGTGCTGGCCGCCCTTCCCACAGCCCCCATTGGCCTGGAGCGGCGAACCGCGGCCAGTGGGAGCTGCAATCGGCCGAACCTGCAGACGCGGCAGGTAAACAAACTGGCCCGGCCCACCAGGGGCTTTCCCTGAACAAGCAGCGGACCGGCTTTGAGAAGCTCTGTTCTAGAATCTATCTGCCCCATATCTGCAGTATCTAATCATCACAAACATTACAATATCACTGCTTGAAGGAGTGGGGGGTTGTATTATTACAGAAGAATATATGTGTTTTTAAAAGGTAAAGGAAATAATTTACAGGACTGAACATGCATCTTCCACAGGAAACAAACCCCACTGTAGACACTGGTGTTATATTTGTGTTTTTCTCACTGCCTTTAATGCTTCAAGGAGTTATATATTCAGACAAAATACCATCAGATCTGATCTCAACATTTTAGTTTCTATATGGCAGAAATAGCATACGAAGACAAGGTGTCAAATTTTCAAAGTTGGCTACATTGGCTTAAGAGTCTAAGTCCCATTTTCAAAAGGGACGTAGCCACTTATGAGCCTGGGACTTAGGTTCCTGAGTCACTTAAGTATTTTTGAAAATTTATCCAAGAATTTGTGGTGTTTTGGCACTAGAATTTTCTCCCTGAGGCAAAAGTTGCAAGTTAAAGATATAAACATGAATATAAACAAAGGAAGGTACAATAAATTTGATTGCAGGTACTAGGAATTGCACAGGCCCCTCATAATCAAAAAGCCAACAAAAACATTACATTTAAGGATGAAGGGTTTAAAATAAATATTCACCACAACTACTCCCACTGAAAGCAAATGAGTTACAAATAAACTAGAATGAAAATAGGGAAAGAGTTTCAATATAAAATGAGACCCAAGAAGCCATATTTTGCTCTCATTAAAGATGGCAACCCATTGTAGCACATATTGTTCAGTCCTCTCCCCTTCAGTTCACCATGGTGTTGTCCTTCTGGCACTAACTCTATCCATAGATGTCATTGAGAACATATAACGAAGTCATTTGGGCACGTGAGCGGTGCCTATTCGGGATGACTTCAAAGGTCAGCTGGAATCTTTCATCTGCAAGTGTTTCCCCCTCCTCCCCTCCCTTGCCCCATCAACCTATAAACCCATAAAGAAAATACAGAAGTCAGATCAGATGTTCTTGTATCAATGCAAATGGAAATCACCGTGCATGCATTGGCTAATTTAAAGGGGTTGTGATTCTTAGCTACATTTGTAGAGGAAGGAAGTGGAGGTTTAAATTGCAATATCCAATAAATCTGATCTTTCAGGATGATGAGATGAGGACATTATAACATGAGAGCTAAAAATAGGGGTGTTTATACAGGGATAGAAAAAATACTGAGCCATGTTCATACCACTGTATACCAGTGCTGGAATTCAACTGTCAAAGTTGGAGTGGTGGAAGGAAAGAACCATTTTAATTTAGTCTGCCCTCATGAGCATTATTGTAATTTCTTCTTGAACTACCACGCCCAGGCCACAGCATTATTAAGCCTGCATACCAGCACTGGTATGAAGTAGATATAGTAGAACCTAGGATCTAACTGACTTTAGTGAAGAGTTTTTACTGAGTAAGTACTACGGGATCAGGTCCTTGGTGTCTAAAGCACTTTAGGAAGCTTAGGGATGAAAGGCAATATATATATATATATTATAATAGTAATTAAGCATACTTTATGATATACCTATATGTTTATTAAAAGTTTAGTTATTATTCTTGTACCTTGTATAGCAACCTCCATACAGTGAGCCTGCTTTTCAAGGCCATTAAGTATGCAAAGTGAAATTCCGTGCTTAATTTGAGTGCAGTTACCTGGTCTGCATGCACACAATAGACACATATTTGCATACCTCACATGTTTGAAAATCTGTCCCTGCAACAGTGTATGGACTGTATGGATGCAGGGCTCATTGCTTTTGCCTTCCTTGGGTGGAATTTGGTGTGTAGTTTATCCTGAGGAGGGGGGAAGGGAATCTTTTGTTCCCATATCTGTCTTTTAAAAGTCATCTTATGTTAAATATTACACATGCAGCATAAAGACTGTATTGGTTGCATTTTCTAAATGAAAAATAAACAAATCTGTGCTAGTTACAGGGCTAGCTAGGCTTCCCTCCTTCGTAATCTCTATGAGGGCACCCTCTCAGGTCATAGGCCTCATGCCTTTATCTCCTCTAGAGTGCAATCCTGTGACTCTCCCATACTTAGCCTAGTCTTGGGCTACAGAATCTTGTGTACTGACTGTGCTTACTCAGCAGGTCCAACTGGGTTTGGCACCTGTGTTTTTTTCCTTCTGCATAAAAAGGATTTTAAAACAACAGTCTACGTGCACATCTGTCTTACCTAACGCACTATCATCCTGTGATGATCCTAGGCCTAGATTCCTCAGACACCCTTGTGGGTGCCTGCATCAGTCTGGTTTCCCTGACCAGCTCCTTAACAACTCAAGATAGAGAGAGCCCCTTTTAGTCCAGCTAGAGTCCCTTGTTCTTGTCAGTTCTTCGGCTTCTGGATAAAATCAGTTCAGTAGGCTTAACAGGAGGTCGAGCCAGACGCAACAGAGCCCATATCAATCCTCAAATGTTTGCTGAGGAATGATTTATCCTGAGCTATTCTTCTTCCCTTCCTGCTTGTTTTCCTTACAGCCCACAGTTAAACTAAACCAATATATTAATACAATAAATATCCCAATAACCAGGTTAGTATACAATATTCACAAATTATTACAGGGCAGCTGGATATCCATCACAAAACTACCTACCTGTTCCTGAAAGATCACTTCTGTCCCCATGCCTCACTGCTACAGTTGAGATCAGATGAGCTATAAATAATAGGGACTGCTAGCAGGGTATTCTCTGTGACGGGTTCACAACTTTGGAATTTGCTCCATCATGGTCTGAAATAGTCCAAAGTTGATGAACTTCAGTGCTTGCCATAGACTCATTTTCCCTCCCTCCCACCAGATATTAGAAAATGGGTGGGGGACAGGATTGTAATTGGAGAGATGGGGAAATAATGGGGTGGAGGATTGTGATGAGTGATCTTAAAGTACTACACTGATACTTTGAGTTACGTCAAGGGCATCTAGCGATAGGCGTTCTTTTTCATCATGTCTATAAATCAAAATAAATAAATACAAACATTTTCCAGAGTTAAGTAACAAAAAAGGGAAAAAGAAATTAAGATGTTATGTATATTCTAGAGGAAAAGATGGAAATCACCACATAGAAACACTTCTCAAAGAGTTTCACTCAGTAGTGGGGTATCCACCACCACCTACTCCAAGGCCGTTTTGAACTTGTTCTGTCACCCAATTGTGACATGATATTTTCAACAAATCCAGTATTGTTCATGCATTTTATTAAGCAAGCCCTTTTTTCTGCAATTGTATACACCCTGTTTCTGAAAATATATTTGTTTACATACAATGAAAAGCATCATTGTTTTCAAACATCTAATTACTGGGTTACAATTTCCCCTTTTGTTTACTGTTTTGCAACCTATGCAAGCCTGTCTGAATTTTAAACACTATTTTTCTCTACACTTTCCAGTCACTCGGTTATTATTATCATCATCATCATAGATTCAGAGTTAACAAGCACTTCTGTCAAGAAGCAATGAACCTGGCTCCAACAATGTATTGTTGAATAAACAGTTGGAAAAGGACTGCGTGGCTGGCCTTCATTTAAATTCAGGCACACCCGTGCAATGCATTAGCAAAGTGCTGATCAACTAGTGATACAAGTAGAACTTCCAAACTCTGATGCTAATCACCTTGCATGAAAAACACGGTTTCCTGGCACTAGCTACCTGATGGAGGCTTCTCAACGGGTGATATTTTGATGGCATCGGCTTCCCAGCAGGATTTGCGTCATTTTATACAATCTCTTGAAGGAAAACTGCACAATGATATAGAAGAGATTGCAGTCATGACATGTAATTGCAAAGAAGAATAAATCACTAAAGAAAATTAGTAGTGTCTATAAATATCAGCAACCAGAAAGGAAGCTGCCGCATTGATGGTTTGATGATGTAAAGTAAGAAAAGCTCAGGAAATGCAGCTGAGCTTTATTTGGAATGCATGAACAAACAGGAGGAATTATGATTTGCCACATAAGTTGTGTGGAGTTTTTTTAACTGATTAATTTAGACGCTATATAAATACTTTGAAATCAATCACATTTAACAGCTATAGAATTTCAAACAACTCTGAAAGTCTCCTGCTTTCCCAAATGTTAAAATAGGAGCTTGCATTTTCCAAATCACATGCTACATCACCAGCCTGTAGTTCCTGCTGGGAAATATCAGAAGAGCAGCAGCCTCCACTGAGAGCTAAAGATATTATTACTAGTTTCTGCAGTGACGGACATATTAAAACAGTGACAGTTATTTCTAAAAACCTTCAATATATACATATTCTTATTGCTCTAATTAAATATTTGCTTAGAAGTCTAAGCAGGACCTTTGTAATATCTAGACTCACTCAAACCACAAACCCAAACACTTGCAGGGTCAAGTCAGTCCGTCATCCTCCTCCTGTAGAGTTCCCTGACACTTATTACATGGGTCTCTTTTGGGTGGAACCTTAAAAACAAAGTCAGATTTTTTTAAAGGTATTTAGGCACCTAAAACTGCAGAAAGGCGCTTACTGGGACTTTCAAAAGCACCTAGGCACCTATCTGTATCTTTAGGTACCATAATAACTTTAAAAAAAATCTGACCCTAAGTTCCTGTCTGGTCCTCCTGGACATTAAAGATCCCATGACCACAAGAGTGGAGGTTTGCTCTAGTATATTTTAAAATTTCCCTTCCCCACCATCAAGACTGTGTAAGATGCAATGTGCAAGTTTGCGGCCACTCTCCATCAAAGAGGAGGCTGCAATTCAGTGGTGATGTATGAAGCTAGCACCTCTCTCCTGAAAGAGCTTTAGAAATGAAGTATTTTTAAAATATTATTTAACCGTAAGGTATCATAACAAATTACTGTATTACCACTATCTAATGGGTTCAGTTTCTATTGACTTATATGGGGGAATTCTACAGACCATTTCTACTGGCATTATTAGACAGTTCTAGTTGATGGGTCTTCAATGGTGCTAACCACTGAGTTGGACCCTCCTACAATAGTTTTTCAGGGGCACAAGCTCCTTGACCAGCTCCTCACTGCAAGGCTAACTCATGAGGGGGAATGTATTGCTCTCTTAGAGGATTAGATTTCCTAGCCTGCTTTGTACAAACCTTATCCTGACAATTCTGACTGCAACACATCACCCAATAAATGTTAGATTGTGACTTGGGTCACAGTAAAAATTGAGAAAAGCTGCAGTGGTGCAGAAAAATCTGTTCACTTACTTTAATGACTCAGAAACAACCTTGATTGTGGTTTATTTGGATTTAATAAAGCACCTGTCCAAAGTTTTAGTGCTGTACAAATGATAAAACACAACAAAGAGTAAATATTCTCAATGCAAAATAGAAGAACTCTGCCAACCAAGCCATATACCCCAAATAACAATATCGAATATGACACAACCAACTTAATGGCATAATAAGCCATAACATAATGTGGTAGGTCCTCCTAAAAACCACAACCCTCCCCCCCGCCCAAAAAACGCAGTACCTACAACTCACAATCCTTAAATCCTTCACCTCTCTCTTTCCAGAAAAGCCCAGGAGAACAGATGTGCTTTGCAGTATGCCCTGGATGTTAAAAAATCAGGGCCCTCTCAAGCCAAAAGACTCCTTCCCCCACCCTGCCCCTTATGGAAAATGCCCTATCAGCAGTCCCCTCTTTTAAATCAGGGGACTGTAAATTCTAGTGCCTCCACTGAGTGCAGATGCCATGGTAACATCTGGATAGAAAGGTGAACCCTCAGTTAATAAGGACACAAACTTTAAATGCTAGCATTGTGTATTATTGCCAATAATATTAGGAAAACATCAGGCTGACATGCTCATTTATCATTGTGGGATGTATTAGCTGACATTGGGGTGGAGTGACAAGGAATTCAAATCTCCAGTTTCCCCACAGATTTAAAGGCCCTGTCCAAAAGAGGGAGTGGAAAGAGGAGATGCAACCCCTTCCCAGAACCAGATGCCACAACTATATCCGAGGTACCAAAAACAGCTCACGTATGTTCTTGCTTCTTGGGTGTCAAAATCCCCACCCATGTGCCCAAACCACCAGCTTTCCCCTCTGGCAACTTCTGTGGGGCAGTTATGCCTTACCATAGAGGAGCCTGCAACCCATTAAACATTTAAATATTAGGGGTGACATGAAATTAATTGAATGAAGTGTCAAGATTAAAATTATACTTACAGTATCAGGAATACAGTACATATTGGACTGGATTGCAGAGGGTGGAAGGAATAATTGAAGGTAAGAGGATTTGTGGGGGGCATAGTTCTGGTGTCTCCGCTAAATAGCTTAGGTTTAACGTGCCACACAGTACATAGGGCACTGCTCATGTTCAACAGTGCTAAAGGCAACTGACAGATTTGAAAGAAAATGTTTTGTCCTCAACCATCGCTCCAGGATGACTGAGCTAAAATCTTCAGGCATGCTAGGAATAGCTAATATTATCCAAGATCTAGAGAAAATTCTGGTTTTATAGCAATTTTCAAAGAGTGCACAGTATTTTATAGGCTTCAGAGAAAAAACAAAAATTCATCTCTACATAGGAAATTAGTATTTGTCTGAAACTGATGTAGCTGCAACTGCTATTCACTAGATATTCACTAGGTATTACAATGACAGAGCTGAGATATGAAATGTGATTTTTATAAACTCAGTAAACGATTTAAATCTTGTGGAAAATACATTATACATGTTAATAGCTTCATTTGGCTAAGCAGCCTTCACTATTTTTCTGCAATTGCATTAAGGTACTGTATATTGATATACCCTCATATGTGAAACAGCCCCTTAATAGAGAACATTGCCTTGGAGCTTTAAGTCCTTATGAAAAAATGTCATCACTGCCCAAAGAACTATTTCACATACAGTAATTATGCACTATTAATGAACAATATCACATACAACTGCATTTGCTAGCCCTGTAATGTAATGGAGTAGATTCTTTGTATGTAATGTGCTTCAGAATGACCTGACACTGCAAAAATGCCTCCAGGTTCCACAGCTCATGTAAAATATAATAAATATATAAATAATTTAAAAGAGGAAATAGGTAGTATTAGGACAGTGGGGTTCTTTATGCAACTACACTTAAAAGATTAGCAACCTGACTGTTGAAAACTCTTATTTTCACTCAGTCATAACAATTCTCTCTGGGATAACACTGGGCATAGAACAATTCCAACAAAAATACATATTTTAAAAGAAAATTTGAAATAAAATCTGTTTTGCCATTTAATTTCCAAAAATGCAGCAGCTTGTGCTCTACCAATCATAAGTTTTATACAGCACCTGCCATATTACTGTGGTATCTAACCATTATGGATTGGGCAGGGTCCCCACAGGAAGGAATTCCTGAGTCCTAATCCTAGAAATCCTAGCTCTGACACAGCATTACTACCATTGGGGGAGCAACAGGGTAGACAAGAAAAAAGCTCAGTGTAGACAAGAGTAATGTGTGTATTCTTAACCAAATTCAGTTCAGTGTAATCAATGGAAGTTGAGCCCATTTATGCTAGTGGAGAATTAGATCCTCAATGTTTCTGTTTACCTTTCTATAAAAGAGGAATAAATAATGAAATAGGAATACATCATGGGTGTTGTGAGGGTCATTAGTCAATGCCTGTAAAGAGCAACAGTGTATAAGTGCCAAGTATTATCATCAATGTAATGCAGGCTGTATCTACACCACAACTGAACTGCAATCAGAGGTGTGATTGCAGCTCAGATAGGCATACCTTATGCTAACTTTAATCTATCTAGCATGGCTAAAAATAGCAGTGAAGACTCAGTGGCATGGACTTCAGAACCCTGGGTCCATACTTACATGTCAAGCCTGCACTGAAGTCTCCACCGTCACATCTTCACTGCTACTTTTAGCTCTGCTAGACAGATCAAAGCTAGCATAGATATGTCTACCCACGATGCAATAACATCTTCAATTGCAGTGTAGACATAGCTTCAGTAACATCTTCCTTTTTCAAAGTAAGATTTCAAAGCCCATTCGTTTATAATATGGGCTAGTGCCTTTGGGTATTTTGGAAGGGTGAAAAGACAAATTAAAAAGCAGCAAGTCATTTAATTTCAAAGTGCAGTTATCCACACACCTTCCCGTGTGCTGACTAAAATGTTCATCAGCTTTTTCCTAGGAGGATTGTATGCAGGGCAATAGAATAATTTCTGGGTTTTAGATGCTTGAAATACTGACATATGATAGCTTCTTGTCCCTAAACAACGGATTCAAGTGAAAGGCCTGAATGATTCCAAATGAGGTGCTATGGCCTTGAGGTACATATATGTTTAAAAAATAAAAATCTGAAACTATCAAACACTTTCAGGAGAGGGATTTTTTTTCTTTGAACATGATAAAGAAACTCTCGTAAAAAGAACAGTGAAAATAGTATTAAGGATGACCAAAATGCAGTTCACAGAGTTTACAGTGGAACCTGAGGCTAGCCCAGTGTTTTGTTTCAGAGGTACAGCCTTCAGAGATGTCAGGTCCCAGGATGCAGTGCTCTAGCTTGAGCTCAGTGACTAGGCTGCTCAGATAGAGATGCAGCATTGCTTGCTGGAACCTGTAGTCTCCAGGCTTCATCTCCATATTAAAAACAAAAGCAGTGGCAATCTGCTCATTTTATGCAAATTAGATGAAGCACTTTAGCTCCTGGCATGTTCCCAGTCCTTGTTCTAACATAATTCCACCAAATCCAGAAAATTCCGAGTTAAGGCTACGACGATAATCATCCTCTCTTCCCCATGCCTTGCAGACTTGAGTCCTCTGTCAGGGGACTTTCATAGGGGAGGGGCATATACTGTGTGTACCTAATGAACAGCAATACCTATGTGCAACAGGGATGAGTTAAGAATAGAGTTTCAGCATTAACACTGAATTCTCTGGCTTATGGGTTTAACGTTATCTTAATGCAAGTTGGAGCGGTGGGGTCCGATAAAGATGTTGCATATTAAATGTTCCCCTCTTTCTTCCATGCTTGGGAAAAGGGTGTGTGTATCTGCCAGAGTAGTCGATTGACCACACACTTTCCAATTTTTCCCCATGTTAGGAAATAGGTCCTGTCTCATTACTGGTGACAGCACATATTGGTAGGTCATAGAGCAAGGGGAGAGCCTTGCGTAGAACAGCTGGGGCCCAGAGCCAGAAATCTCATTAAAGTAAGCTGCTGCTATTTCCAGCCTGTAATAGAGCTTTGCAGCTTGATTATATTCAGTGAAAGCAGGTCATTACAAACACACTGTTTTTTGCATATTATCTAAATTGAAATAATAATATGTTCTCTCCTTTCATGTGCTATATTGATAAATCCCAACTTATGAATGAAGCATGTTGATTAGTTAGTTAAAAATAATTAGTTCCATATTATGCCTCTAAGTTTAAGGCTTGATTAGTGCAAACAAATAACTTTTCTTGATAAGTAATTTACAGATTATTCTTTTAAATGGAACACAAGTATAAAAATGATCTAGTGAGACAAATTATGGTGTCAGTGGATTTATTTTCTTTCTTTGCTCTTTCGGTTGAAATGTAATGTTATTTTTAGAACTAGATAAGATGAA